CCATCAATATCTGACATTTTCAACAGGTTTCGTGTCAGGGCCCACAATGTTAGCTGTCTTTTCCCATGTATATGAAGGTGCCTCCCCTAAAAAAAATCCAGTAAAGTTTTCTGATGAACAGATTTCCAGTCATTCTACTTTGTTTTGATAATCACACAAGTTTTTCTTTTCGAAGAATATTTCATATTATAAAATTGTTTCTGACTGCCAGTGTGATTTTTATAGCCACTGTTGTTGGAATGTATTTATCCTAAACAAATTGACCAGTCAGGTTCAGTTAGTGTGAAACTGGATGAAAAAGGATTTAAAAAATAATCTAAGCACACGCAGATGTATTCATCCTTTTTGCATTTTCCTTTTTTTTTAAATCAGAGTTTTAATAGCAACACTTCAGATAAAGATCTGTAAAGACTTCTGAGAAAAAAAAAAGAAAAAAAAAAAAACATCTAACCACTATCAACATTCCCATTAAGCCATTCCTTTTAAAGTTCAGATAAAATCACTGAGCTCTCCATAAGTTTTATGATGCAGTTCTGGTTCACTAAAGCTAATGTTAAATTAATTAAATGCGTTATTTCTATGGGCTTATTACAGAATTTTCAGACACTCAGGTGTCGCTCTCTAAATGTGATGAAAGATCTTTAAAGGTCTCTGTTAACATTTGATAACACTGTGCTCTGAAATTATGTCAGCTTGTTATAAGGTTCTGCACTCATTAAGAAATGGGAGACAATAATTAGTTATATCGCAAAGATGCAACTTTTTATCTGTTGCAAAGCTGAATTTGTTTAACTCATGACAGCATCGTAACACCAAATAGCAGCAAAGCACTCAAACGACTTTCTGATGTCAAATTTGGTGTGAAAAAACGTTTTCGTCTCAGGACAGCTGGAAATCCAGTTACTTCAATTAACAGCCAAGCAAAGCTTTAAGATTGCATGTCAAAGCACAAATAAACTGATAAGATACAGTATACAATGTTTGAAACTCCACTCATAAAAAAAAAGAACAATGCAATCAGATGTTTACTTGACAGGACATTTGTTTATTTTTGCATAATTGCTGCCAGAAAGGCAATATTTTTGGATGGCATGACGCAAGTAAGAATAAACACTGTAATTAGTGCTGAGAAAACTGCAGGAAGCCGGAGAGAAAAGGACTGGGAAGCAGCAGAGGATACATTTGAATCCCCTATGGTGTTATTAATGTCAGCAGCTGAGCAACGTGTTGACCACCTCCTGGTCCACTGCTGTCGGATGACAATAGCATTTAAACCGACATCTGCTTTGGACTTGCTTTCTGTTGAAAATTTGACAAGAGACAGTAAATCATTAAAAGTAAAAAGTCTTTTCTAATTTCTTTTTACCACACCTTACCAGACTGCGGTGCTGGCCGGTTTGGAAACCGTGACTGACTGAATCAATGCACCAAGGTTACTAGTGTTAATGATTGCTAATCATTTTGCCTTCATTATTTTCAAATGTCAGCTGTTAATTAGAAAGCTGTTTTCTATACGACTGAGTTCTGAATGTATTTTCTGCTGAAGCTGATGACAAAGAGTTGCAGTCACTCATTTGTTACACACCTTTTAACCTAAATAATAATAATAATAATAATAATAATAATAATATACTCTGTTATAAAGTTCTTTTTAACAATAACAATTTGCAACACAACAAATCATGATCACATAATTCATGTTGGCTTTCATATGATAGAGAGCAACATCAACTTGTGAAGGTTGGAGTATGACTTTTTGTTCTTTCTAAAACTACAATCTTGAATAGTATGTTGTGAACTTAGATTTAGTTCTGTTTACTCTGATTTCTCCAAATAAAATTAAGTATAAATAACTGCCTTTTCACCTTAGTGTAATTTGATCTCAGTATAAATACATTTGTTCCACAAAAACCGCATACAAAAGTGGATGGATTTGTTGTCCATCCCACAGTTTCGTGCTACGTTCTGCCATTCTATCAAACAACATCCATAAGAAGCTTGTTGTTGTAACAAGAACAATATTTTACAATTTCAAGGGATGTGAGTACTTTTGCAAGAAACTGTAATTGAGAAATATTCAGTGGTTATGGGTCAAAACAGTTACTATTGTTTGTTCCTGCTCTCATCAGGTACAGATCCACCCTGTGGATCTGTACCAGACAGATAATGTAATTTTAAACACTGAGTTTAAGTTCCTAAACCCTATTTAAATGTCCTGCTCTACAAGACAGTACGGATGTTGGACATGCCTTGTTCATCCTTTTTCAACATTCCCTCCCCCAACTCTGCTCCCGCCAGCCCACTCTGTGGAACATCTGCAATAACATGCTCACCCACACCGAACAGCCAACCCTCAAAATACATGAATCACCCAGAAGAGAGGGGGAACGAGACATTCGTGTGTGCGTGAGTGTGTGTGTGCGTGCCTCTTAATCTCTGTTTATGGGTCGTTCAGTGACACATGAGAAAATAATTTGGTTTTATGTGTGAACATCTCTGCGTGCTTCTGAAAGAATGATTGTGCGCAACCCTTGTGTGGCTGTGTGCGTGTGCGCTTCTGATGCGGGGCTGGAGGGCTGTGTGGGCAGAAGCATCCTGTGCTGGTGTAAATTGATTTCCAGAATCCAGACGTTAGGTCCTCTACGCAGGAAAAAGAGCTGTGTGCCTCAGCAGCCTTTTATGAAAGGCGGTGAAGTGCTTTATGCCTGTTTGTGTCTCCCCTTGTGTGTGCGTGAGAGATATGTGTGAAAAAGAGGAAAAACAAAAACTGAAAAAAGTATAAAGCAAAAGGTGCAATGACAGAAAAATGTGATGCAAAAAAAGACAAAAAAAAAAACAAACAAAACAAAACAAAAAAAACCTGCAGCTTTCCAAAGTGTTGCAAAGTGATTTGTTTCCAGATGCAGTCCAGTAATCTATGGGAAACAGCTGGTAAGTGGTTTATTCATGACCACGAGTGTTACTGTGCATTTGTGTGAATCCTTTGTTTATTCATGAGAAGAGACAGAGAGGGATGAGCAGTGTCACAACAAGTGAGATAAACAGTGCGGTGGCGGGTTAGAAGAAGACAGACACCAACACCAACAGTTGGGAATAGCTGTTATTCAAAAGTGACAATATGGTTTCCTTCTCTGCAGGTGGGAAATTGAGTAAGTTTAGCACATTATGTAAAACATGTTTCACAGATACATCAGATTTTAAAATCTGGACGTGAAGTACTCCTGGTGATTAGTCTTGATTTTTAAAATCAGGCAGCCTTAAGTCTGAACTACTGGAGTCTTGCTTAAATAGAGTGCAATCATGCAATAATAAGCAGCCTTAAATTTTTGTTGATTACATCTTTGTAACAATTTATGTGCATTTTACTCTCTTATACTCTAATCAATATGCTTGAAAATAAAGTTTAATAGGAGCAGTGGAGTTATGAAAAAATAAGACCCCCAGTACTGTTTATTTTCTGTTTATCTGTTTATTTTCAAGCAATATCTGGGAATTCAATAATATACGCAAACTATAATAACCAAGAAAAAGTCATTTTAACATTTTCTGTGCTGTATTATAAAACATAACTGCTGATCTGAAAGACCCTGGCTATAAAATCAGAAATTAAGATGCATTTGGTCTTTGAATAGCATGAAAGTTTGCAGCCATGTGTGAAGCGGTCAAAATGAAAATTAGCACCACCAAATTAGTGACCATGATCTTGAGCCAAAACAAGGTAGAGTGTGTTATTCGGGTCAGGCCTACGAGGATCATCTTCTTGGGGTCTTGTTCCAGACCTCAAAACACACCGGATGGACGATGTCCCCTGGGACTCCCCAGGTGAGCTAAAGCTCACGTCACTGCATGAGCGAAGGCATGGGCTTCTCTGCTGAGCTGCTGCCGCCGTGACTTGCACTTAAACAAACTCAGGACGTTTGCTGAGAATACGGAAATGGACAGTTCTGAGCTGAATCAAAACCTGGATTTCATTTCATTGAGATGGTGTGGGAGTCACTTGAACTGGGCTGTAGATGTTACCAACCTCTCAGAGATCCGAGGGTAAGGAGTGGCTGAAACTTCCCTAAAATAGATTTGAGAAACTGGTCGATGGCGACAAGAAGCAACTCACTGACATCATTCCAGCCCAAATGACTAGCAGGTCACAAACCTTTATCCCTAAGATTGAATAATATACAATATATTTAACAAGTATGACCACTTCATGCATTTACCTTTCATTTGTTTTGCAGGACCGTTATGTGCTGCAAGGTTTTCAAAATGCTTTTCATGGTTAATCGTCTGAATGCAAATGACCAATGCATTTTAAAGAAATGTTCTCTACAGCATTAATGGCACCACCTTGGTTTTGCCTCAGTGACCCAGCTTGCCAATATCAAAGACAATAATAAGCAGATAATTCACAAAAAATGTACAAATGAAGCAACTGGAAGTAAAATGCAGTATCATTTCTGTAAGGAAATAATTCCCCAGCTTGTTTTTATTTCCCCTCTGCTCATGGAGCTGTTCCACTGCTGTGGTGCTGAAATGCCTGTCCCCGTTTCTCAAACATCCAAAATGACATATAAATCATGACAGCATCTATAATGTGATTCCGCTCTACTCTATTTATTAATATCGCTGCTGCAGAGTTTTATTTGAACTGAGTGGGATCAGGATGTAATTATTTAAGATATATAAGGAAGGTGTGTCTCATTCATCCATTAATGATTTCACCGTTTCACGTGTCAGTGACCACAACTATATTTTAAGTGAAGGTTAAGTGGATTATTATTATTATTATTATTATTATTATTATTATTATTATTATTATTATTATTATTATTTTGATTAAAGAAATGTTACACCTTGCAAGAAAGAAGAGCACCTGCAATATAACATAACATCACATCGTAATTAATTTGTCATTACTCCCTTACAGCTCATCTTCTGCAGGGTGAGAGCAGCAGCAGCAGCAGCTGCAGCAGCAGCAAGCAGCGGGGTACATGGGTTGGGTTGGCAGCACTTGAGTGTAATTCCATGTGGGAGGAGGATGGGTGGGTTTAAGTGCAGCTATCAGGTCTTTTCTTCTCACACGCTCCGCTGTGCGCACAGACTGAGGAGAAAATCAAAGAGCAGGTCCACCTCCCCATGCGATGTGCAGCAGGTCGGTGAGGGCGCAACAGTAATCTCAGATACTGTCCCCGCATTCAGATATTCACGCTGTTTGGCGAGTTAACAAAGTCCGCTACAGTTTTTTTTTTTTTTTTTTTTTTTTTTTTTTTTTTGCGCTTTTTGTTTCGTTTTTCATTCACTCATTGCTTCACTCCCCTCCATCCTCTCCAGCTTCAACATCTGTGAAGTGGCTGCCTCACCCGGTCGGACCGGAGGCCGTCTGGTCTCCGATCTGGTCTCAGGAGTCAGCAGGGGAGACTCGACGCGCTCCGTTGGGGCCAGACTGTGCGCCTCTCGGATCACACCGGAGCCGGCGCGGGCTCTCGCCATGGAGGTGATGGAGGGGGACGTTATGGACAAGCTGGGGGACATGTCATCGGTGTACGACTTTGACCCGATCACCGGCAACATTCCGGCCACGAAAGTGGAGATCACTGTCTCCTGCAGGTGAGTGGGCGCGAATGAAAAGTTCGGGAAATGGGGACGGCGTGCGGGGAAAGTTCTGAGAAAGCCTCACCCTTTCTGTGAGACGCGCTTATTCCACGATGATGCAACGATCCTGCCTTATGTTGAGAAAGCAACTTCCGAAGTTGCTCGTTTTGATTTGTGCCTGCATGCGTGGACGTGGGGGTGTTTCGGTGGACAGCAGTGGCCCTTCACCTGCTGTGGGTTGAGTGTGGCTCTCTGGGCATTGGAGGTGAGGGGATCAGTTATGAGAAGTTACCTGTCATTTCTGCCTGAAAAAACTATTTCATTGCTTATTTGCCAGAAGCTTTCTCTCTTTTTCTATAACAGGAAACTTTGGAAACAAAAACTTACTTTTGTTTGCCCCTGAAGAAGTTTTCTTCATTGCTTCTTTGAAAATGAGACCCAGCAAATGGTGCAAATTAGTGTCTGATTCATATTTAGCCCCGAAATATGCCTTATTTGTTCTGGATGATATCGGTTCTTGTTCTTTTTTCACATCCCTGCTTATACCTATTTACTTATCACTGCCATTTGGTCTCTTCTTCATGACAAGCCCTGGTTGGAGAACCATTCACCTAATCGAGAGCAACCACTATGCATCATGGCTAGAAGACTTGAAGTAGGCTACTCAAATTAAGCTCTGATTAGGTCCTTAAAATCTTGGGTCAGCTCTTTTAAAATAATGTATTATTATTATTATTTGTTAGTTTTTAATGAAAAATATATAGCCTCATTGCATCCTAAAGCCTGTCTCATGTGCATGTTTGTACAGTAACTGGCTGTTTTCAGCACCAACAAACCTCTGAAAGCCTCAACCCTTCCCCTGCTGCATTCTTTAAAAAAGGGACTTAAATTTTCAAAGCTTTGCATCACATTCACACTGTGCCCATGTCCCTGGCCTCAAGCTCGCTCCCTGTTCTGTAATATCAGTATTTCATTTTCAGAAATAATTTATAAAAAAAAGAATGTCTGCCGTCCTAATACAGTCACTCCCCTTCCTCACAGAAAGTGTTTTTTTTTTATATGTTAGGGCTGACAATGCTATTCGTCCCTTAAATACTCCAGAATGTGTGCGCACGCACGCACACGCATGCACATGCATGCACACACAGGCACACGCACACATGTGTTTCTGCTCTTTGATGCTGGGTTTTTGGTTGGTGAGCCATTGGAGCTGAGTGAGTTTGAGTTATAACAAGCTGTGAGTGCATTATTGATGGGCTCTCTGACCTTCAGAGAAGCTTGCTTCAACATCTCTCTACTCAGAACGGGAAAAAGGAGAATACGGACCCTTTCAAGAAATTTGCTGAATGAACAACAGTTATGTTGCAAATGGAAATCTTTAGTAAGCAGTCAGTTTAAATGGAGAACGGATGGGTAGCGAAATGCCAACTTGAGCACCTGACAGATTCTGACAGAAGTTTTGGATTTGAACTTTCCCAGCATGCCAAATCAAGCTGACTGGGCTCACATCGTACACAGGCATGTGCAATTAGATCATCATTCAGGTAAATGATGAGCTCCATCTTGAACCCCACCAGCATTTATGCAAATGAGTTCTCTAAATATATCATCCGAACATATCCCCATGTTGACATATGTTGGAAAGGCAGGAAACATAAAGGAGTGTTGATCATTCCCTCATACAGAAAGACGATGAGTTTGAGTCGAAACCAGTAATTGGAAGAGGGTGGTTGGTGCTTTTCCATCCTGGTTCAGTGCCAGTGTTTTCTGTAGGAAAGCACCCATCAATTTGCAGTGGATGTACAGTTTCAATGCTAATCATGTGAAGAAAAGAACATGTGGCGTACAGTAATTAAGCTCACAGCTCCTGCTGTGATTGTGCTTGAAGTGCAGTGGCTTGCAAAAGTTTGGCCTAAAAACACCACCAACAACAGAAAATATACAATTTTTCAAGTTAATTTTTGACTGAGTTTATCTTTTCTGCTTGGGAGATTATTGTGCCTGTATTACATGGAGTCAACACTCCACATTGTCTAGTTTCAGAAAATCAGTCAGTGTTCCTGTGTTAGCGTATCTGCAGGAAAGATAATTCAGATTTAACCGGGCTACAATCTCTGCTCTATATCAGTCAAATCTAAGGTTATCTTAATGTCAAAAAAGTATAGGAAAAATATTATTTTTAATATTTTCAATAAAAAAAGTAAAAGGCCAATGCAACTTAAACTGAGTTGCAAATAATCTCATTCAGGTGCAGAATTTAGCATTGATTAAAAGCAGTCTGCAGCTTTTTCAATCATTGCCAGATTGGGCAAAGTGAACAAACTACATCTTTAAAGTGATATGGACTGGCAAGCAATGTATGACAAATTTAGATGTAAATAAAACATCACTTATGTTTTTTTTTTAATATTGCAATTAAAATTTTTGTATTTATTTCTTCTTTAGGACTTTGCTATTTGCTCTTTTATTTCAGCATTGAGTTGAATCCTATTATCCCTTTATGAATAAATATTGTTGGCACTAAGGTGATGCAGTGTAAACCTAAAGCAGAATTGCTTGGTGTTTGACAACTTCTTTGACTAAGTATCATGATGAGAAAATATTGCAGTTCATTTGCTGATATGTCGCCCATCAGGGTCATATACAGTATTTGTGCTAGTTATTCTGATAAATGAAAATAAAGCGCTGCTCTTATCAGACTTTGATCATTCTTTTGGTGATTGTTGAGGATTTGGAGAGTCTGAATAATCAACCGGTGTCCTTAGATTTTAAAAACCAAATGCATCCAAACACATGCTTGAGTATGTGTTTGGATGTGCTTTTGTTTTAATTCCCACAACTGCTATTTTTGTAGCTGTTTCAGTTTTTTTGGAAGCAGAGGAGATCAACTTCAGACACCTACAATAACCTCATTAATCCCCCAAATCCTTTGCCCAGATGTCCCCTGAGTCACATTTCTTTTCAGGAAAGAAGCTTCTGTGTTTGGTGGAGTTTGCACCTCCTTCAAGTGTGTGCTTTCTGCGATGCCCCCATCCACGATGATTGCTGTTCCCTGAGGGTAAATACCCCTTATTACAAGCTACAGCCGCGTTTTTGACAATGCACCATTATTGGGACTAGTGTCAAACGGAGAGGAGTGGGTGGGCTCTTGATCAGGCAAATCGGGAGAAAATTATATGTAATTAGTTGGTCATTCATTCAGTTTAAGAAGACAAGTCAAGCATTTGGTCTTAAAATGTTGAAAATTCACTTTAAATGTTCATGTTTTAGGAATGTGCTCTCATTACAAACAAAAACATTCAATATGTGTTATTGGGATTTTTTTTATGAAGGAAAAGTATATACTACATACTGGTGAAGTTATATAAAACAACTCACATGACATTTTTTAGAATCTCAGTGAAACAGTGGCTCTGCACTGAGCTGAGCAGAAGTTAGGGTCAATGATCAACATGTCTTAATTACCCATTAGTGACTTTCATGGCCCTATTACTGTGATTATTCTGAGTACATAAGCCTGTTACTTCCGACCAAGCTAAACACAGAAGCAGCCTTTTGGATAAGAGGTGAAATATCTTCAAGAAACTAGACAAGTTCAGATGCCATTATCTTATCTTGCCTTTATCTCCTTTTACTGCTACAAGTCTGTCATTCTACTTTTTAAAATAGCAAAAACTCAGGATGACTGGATAGTGTGGGACCGATTATCAGGTCATACAACCAGGTTTTTATTCAGATTTAGGCCTGGATATATTACTAATATCTTAAACGTAGCTTTGATCAAGTTTATTTTCAACTGTGGTTCTAGTCTTGCTTTTAGACTTGTTGTCCTGCTGGAAGGTGAATCTTCACTCATACTCATGCCTTATGCTGCCTTTTACAGATTTCCTTCCTATTAGCTTTGATCAGCTTAATGCTGAAAAATGGATCTCGACAAGATGATGCTGCCACCAACAAGCTTTGCCATGGGGATGGTGTGTCCAGAGTGATGTGCTGCTAGTTTTCTACCACTACTAGTTCCCATGTAGGCCAGAAAGTTTATGACTAGACTGGGCTCATAGCTTTTGTTTCTCACCAATATCTCATTAATTGTTGCAAGACTTCCATCACCTTTAATAAAACTATATGTACTATTTAGTTGACTTCTGAAGGCAGTTAGTTAAAAAAAAAAAAAAAAACATAGGCGCACACAACACCTTTCAGAATTGTATTTGTGAAAAAACTTGAAAACCACCATCATTTTTCTTCCACTTCAAAATTATGGAATACTTTGTGGTATATGACATGTAATCCCAATTACATTGGCTGTGACATGATGAAATGGGAAAGCTGTGCAAGGAATATGAATGCTTTTACAAGACAATACTAGCAACAGGATGTTTCATTAAAACAAAGGTAGCTTTAAGCACACAAGGATTTGTTCCAGCAAGTGTAGACTTTTGAGCTCAGCTCACATTTTTCACACTGTTTTATGTAGCATTTTTATGAGTGTGTGTTTGTTTTGTGAAGAAGCATGGCTTCCAAGAGATGTGTCAGAGGAACAAAACGGGGAGTACAGGTGGGCAGTCCCAAAAAAAGGCACATTTCTTTTTGCTTGGGGATTCTCGTCAACTTGTATTTATAAATCCCACAAAGCCTGACATTCAGTGGTACTGGGAACCAGACCACTGAATGCCCTGGTAAATGAGAAGACAAAACAAGGTGCAATGACAAGAGAGCAGAGGTGTAAATCCTTCTGCCACAAAGCCACCGTTCTCCATTCAGTGCTATATGAAATCCTTGTAAACCCATTTACAGGCAAGTCAAAGTCTGCTTTACACTCTGCTCAGCTTTCTTACCAGTCAATTCAGCAACACAAAAAATGACTTATGCATCCAGCGTGGCCTGTAGCCATTTAACAATCTCTCAAAGCCTTTTGAGGAGAGACAGGGTACCTTGTGTATTCCAAGGCAGGTCTTTCAGTGGATAAAAAGCAGCTTCCTAAAATAATATCAAGAAGCACTGAGTTCAGCTAG